CGATATCGCTGCAGGATTCTTCGAGCATGGTACTATTGATTGCATTGCTCTTCAACGAGAGCAGGAGGTGGCCGATGAATCTCGTTGCCTCGTCGCCGAGTTTATACACGAGGTGCATGGTCTTCGTGACCGTGTGGCGTGTCTTGAAGGACTACTGGGTCTTCTCTTAAGGCTTCCTTAACTTGAGGCAATGCTAAATCCATCGGCGTAAGCGCCTCTTATTACACCTGAAACAATTAAAAGTAAGGATTAAGCAAGCCGACGTAAAACTCTTGATGTGTTCGCATCTTGCGTGGAAGGTTGAGCGTATACGCTAGTCCCTTCCTGGTAATAATTGTAAACGGACCGATAAAGCGAGGACGCAACTTGGTCTTGTCTACCGATGACACCACCTTAATAGATAGATTCTTAGCGTTCCGTACGGCAAGGTCTCTAACCGTATAAGTATCACTACACTTTCTGTCGTTGGCATCAGCTCGTATCCTCTGTTCGTCCTGGCTATCAGCCATTGCGTCACGTACATGTCGTAAAGCATTCAATCGCGTAGCGAGAAACTCGCTTACCTGTTTTCGTACAGCTGTTGGCCGCATCTTGATTGGATAGTCCTCTCTTACCAAGCTCATAACTATACAGTGGTTACGTTAACGGAATGCTTGTGTGGGTGATACCATTCACGTAGAATGGGGTGAAGTCAGTAGAGGCATGAATAGCGCTGTTTACCGCAAACTTGACCACGGGCGTATCAGCGCATACACCGCGCGAATGTCACCAATGACACGGTAGACACGCTCAGTTTGACCACCGGTTTGCGGATGATCCGCTGTGGACATTTCTAAGTTGGTGCACAGTACCTTAAAGATGGAAGTCCAAAACTTTTCCAGTGAAAAATGGATCACGATCAGAGACAATTGTCACAGCAATCCATGTTGTCGAAACACACGATCGATAGAAAGCTTTGCTGTACCTTCAGCATCGATAGAATCGGCACAGCCGCTAAATGAGCCATATCGCTAAAACGGTCAACAGAGACTATGATTCCAGTGTTACCTTTCGAGTCCTTCGGTAGGTCAAACACAAAGTCCATACTGATGGACTCCTAACGCCCACTGGGTACGGGATAACTAGTAATCAGTGCAACCACACGTGCTGAGGGTTTGTCTTGTTAACACGCTTAACGCGTTTGCACATTTGAGCTCACCCATTTGTCTAGTTTGGGCCACCAATACGTCTGGCTAACTGAACTATAGGTCTTCTCATGGCCGGGATGACCGCATAAAGCAGTGTCATGTGCCTTGAAGAGGATACGAGACGTAAAGTCCTCATCATGAGGAACAACGGTGCGAGGCATTTACGCAACAGGTGTGCAAAAGCACAACAACCCATGATCGATGACATATCGATGTGGTCTCGCACGTAAATGTGCCTAAAGTATGATTTTTGAGTCTTAAAAATCTTTTCTTTCAAGATCATGTAGCAATGCTACACATTACTCATCACGTGCAAATGCCACTCAAATTAAATCCACAATGGGATGACAACAGAGTCGTAACATGTGCAAGCTGATAATAAGTTCTTTGTGACAAAGCATCAGCCAGAGCATTTTTCTTGCCCTGCTTTTACTTTACCTCGAAGTTGTATTTTGCAAAGTGTGAAAGCCAACTGGCCATGCGCTGTAAGAGGTGAGGCGGCTGTGTCGCAATTCGTAATGACGCGTGATCTGCGAAGATCACAAAATGTTATGAGACAAGTAGATAGAATCTGGACTTGACAAGATAATATTTAATTGCGAGTAACTACCTGTCTTGAATTGGATAATTGTACCTCTGCACCCTTTATCTCACGAGACTTATAACCAATGATGCGTTCATATCCATCGGCATTTGTCTGCAATAAAGCACAATTATTCGCAAACTCCGACGTCACAGACGACACTGAAAGGCCACTCAAGTTTAGGCAAAGTTAAAATTGTAACCTGAAGGAGACTGTTCTTTATATCTGCAAAAGTCTGAGGTAGGATTGCGTCCCGACATTAAATTGCATCTTTATCGAGTAGGTTGTTACTGGCCTTGCCATGTCAGCGTAGTTTGCTGTACTTGTGCAAGTAATTAGCAAGGCCGAGCCGTTTTCACAAGCCTTTTTAGTTTGATAGAACCGGAAAGCCAACAATTGACTTTACCTTAGCGGGATACGCTCGAATGCCACGCGTCTTAATGAAGACCCGAGAAAAAAAATCTCTTCAGCACCAAAATGCATTTCGATGCAATTGTATACAACTGTTCCATGCGCATGTAATAGAGCACTGCTCGTAAATGGTCAATGTGATTGTTTCCATCTGACCTACCATCTTCGGCACGAAAATGGACAAAGATGTCATCGAAATACTTTTGCATACCCTCGGTGAGGTTGGAATATTTGCGTCACACGACGATTAAAAGTATCCAGGGCACTAGACAGCCCTTACGGCATGACAAGTGTAACGGGGCACCCTTTGCTTGGGGTGCCGCAAAACTTCACGTAAACTAGTACGTGCAGAAGAAGCTAACTTTTTTTAAACAGATCATTTGAGTAAAGGGTTAAAGGAGAACTGTATTTAATATAGTTGAGCTATCAATGTAACGTTAATCGTTATCTAACAATATTAAACTACGCCGTCGTGTGACGACAACCTGCTCACCACTCATCGCGCGCGTATAGCATCAACTGGTGGCAATCTATGGCTGATATGTCTTATATCAACCAACCTTGGAGCACCGCATGACTATTATCCAAAAGGGGATAATTTGCCTTCAATTTTATCCATCTCGGATAACACCGGTAGTATATTGTCATGCTAGACCATATTCCAATTGACACCGTTTGGTGTCAAAATCACGTAACGGGATCCCCCGTTACTTCACCCCCCTTAAGTATCAATCACCCGTTAATTAAATTTGAAATGATCTGGACAGTGTGACCACCGTTGGATCACGCTGGGAAAAGGATCACTTGTTGGTCAAATTCCATTCATTTGCCAATCCAACGCATGGTTTCCAAAATTACGCGAGCTGCTACTGCAGAAGCAAGAAGGGCGGCTGCACGTATGCGTGCGGCCGCGGAAAGTGCCTCTCACGCCTCAGCAGCAGGCGATTCGTCGCCTGTTGTCGTTAATTCTTTACGTGGTGAGTCACCACGTGCGACAGGTACGTCCGTTGCATCTGCATCGGGTACTTCGGGTCGTAATCAAGACAAATCTGAGATAGAGCTCATCTATTCTGGCGAGTCGGATGGTGTCCGACTCGATGGCGAATCCTCACGCCTCAACGTCACCCAGGGCAGACACTGCAAAAGCCAGGTTGACTGGCTCTGGTCAGCGCGACGGTATTATGACCGAGATCTTCGGATCGAGTGATTATTCTGTTGAGTCTCCGCCTCACGCAAGTCCATCCAACCATAGAACGCGTGGGGACGGTGGTGATGCCCCTATGCATCACCACGTAAAAAGCAACTTGAAAGATTGAGCTGGCACTGGTACAAGTGCTCATGCTGGCACCAGTAAAGAGGCCAGGGACCGTAATATTCTGCGCCACGCTTCAAAAGTGGAGTCTCCTTGGATGCCGACATCCAGAGAGTTAGACCGGTTGTCCGGAATGACTTTGAACGGAATCGATTCCCGTTGTTTGATTAAAGGAAGATTTTCCCACCTGATTCCAGCACGGAAACGATCCGTGCTGAGGAAGAGTTCTTCACCAATACGCTCTTTAAACGTCTGTGGTACAATGGTAGCCGTGTTCAGGACGGTGACGCCTTGGTGCAAGGACGTTTTGCCTTCATCCATAACATCGAGTGTATTGGCCGTGAGGCTTGGCTCGCCAACTTGATGCTGCTCGCATCAGGTTTAAGAAACGCAACCCGGTCGGGGCGCGATAAAATTGCACCGGCTTTCAAAAGAGGCAGGATTACCCTGTCTCTCGTGGTGTGATTCGTGTCCAGGTTGCCTGGACAACTTGAACCGTGCCCCTAAAGAGGCCTACCTCCCTAATGATCCCAACTGGAGGGCGCGCATTTCTTCAGAGATGGCCGAAGGGATTGACACATTGTCATCCCTGTACTCGCTTTCGGGGAGGTCGTTTTACGACGGCCCTTCTTCAAACACAGCGGGTGGGTCTCGTCGTACTGCTCGACGAGACCCAGAACAAAAACGAACAGTTAGGCACGAGGCTCCCAGCTGTCCCAAGCCAGTGGATAGCCACGCCAGCGGACGAGGTAACTCGTCCGGACGCCATTCACGTCGCGGTGGTTCAAAATACGCTCCACTATGAAGCGTTGATCACCGCTTAAGTCCACCACAGGACGTGGTTGCGGTGGGAACACCTAATTCGGCTTGAGGGTCGGATCAGCTTGATGTTCAAGAGCTGAACTGTCTAACAGAACATTTGCAAGATGACCTAGCTCATGAAAGATCTCGGTGTTATGGGCTTGAGGATCTTGTAAGGGATAACTACAATTCCCTAGCGCACGATCGTTCGGACGATCGTGTCGCTTTTACGTTCGCGCAACTTGAGAACGAACATTCGTCTCGTTCTTTTCGGGACGAGCTGGCTGTAGCTCGTCAAGACATCGCTGGACTGCGTGAACAGGTTGCTTCGCTGGTCGACCAGACTGGCTCATTGAAGCGGGAACACTCGTAGGTGGTCTCGGCTCTCGACCGCGTAGTTGTTCTGTGCATCTCGAAACGGGCTTGTACTGATAGTATGGGCGGAGACGACCGACCTAAAATGTAGGATGCGTACGTATCTTACGGGGCAGTACAATCGTGTACGCGTTACCCGTTCGGCGCAACACACGAAATGGACCGATAAACTTGGGCAGTAATTTACTGCTGTTTACGTTTGTCACTGCGTGTTTCGGTGTATTTCCTGTAGACAGTGAAACTAAGTCTCCTTCATCAAATGAACGAAAAATTGCTCTTCCATGTTTGTCTGCATTTCTTTTCTGTCTGTCCATCCATCTGCAATAGAGTATTAAACGAAGCGGACAACCGCTTCGCGAGTCAGCAGAAATTCCTCTGCTAATTCATCCTTTTCAACAGCAGCTCTCTTCGTGTGCACTGCTGAAAGAACGTTGTCCTCATCAGTGAGGGCGTCATCTTCCTCACTGTGGCAGTCGTTGGAGATGCTGACTATACCAGCTTCGTCGTCATCATCATAATCATCAATATCGGTGTGATAGAAATCGGCATCCATCACGTCGACACCATTGCCGACGCGTAATGAGCAACGACTGGATCGGTTTTCGTTCGAGCGAGTCCACCCCCTCTTAAACTAAAGTCAACACTCTAAGAAGGCGGATAAACGTGAATGGTGTAGGCCATTCACGAAGAGCGGTGTATGCGTCGTCGACGTATGCACCGAGTTGTTGATACAGAGTTAGCCATCGGCAAGAACTCACTCCAACTCACAAACGAGGGTACATACACTCAAAGTATCTCTTCGAGAACGCGTTTAACGCGTTCCGTCTGACCATCTGTTTCAGGATGGTCAGCAGTCGACATATTTAAACGTGTTTCAAGTGAACGGAGCACAGATTGACAGAACTACTCTGTAAAGCGGGGGTCTCTATCGGACTCGAGTTCAAGGAGTAACCCGTAGAGTCGGAAGATAGTATTGATGAAGACACGTGCACATCCCTGGGCTGTGATTGACGTAAGTACAGCAACAAGATGTACTATCTTGCTGAACCGATCAAAAAACACAAGAATACCAGTATTCTTGTGAATATCTTTGGGAAACCCGAAGACGAAGTCCATCGATACGGAATGGCAACACTCTGCCGGAATTGGTAGAGGCTGCAAGGGTGCACAGGATGGAGGACTAGGCTTCGCCCGTTGACATACTTCGCAAGCGCGAATGTTTTTGCGCTTAAAATTATACTGGCGCGACCAGCAGAAGTCACGACTTACCATGAGGCAAGTCTTTTCTCTACCGCGATGCCCACTTGTTGGGGGCATCGTGACACTCATACATGAAGCGCAATCGCAAATAATTGTGAGCCGGAACGACGAAACAAGGTGTGCCGCCGTTGACTGCTGCATAGTACAGCAATCCATCACGAACAGAGTACCATTAGGTTGAAGATCGGTATTGAGACGACAAGCTTTTCATAGCTTGATTACACGGACTGAAAACGTAATTCATCAACCGCAGAAGAGACTCATCTTCTGTGTATGCTTTCCGCACGTCATCGAGCAGATTCGACGACGGAACACTCACAGTTAGTGTCGCGACAGTGGGATCACCCCTACTGTTGGGTTGAGCAGTGGGCTCCAGATCAGGCCGACGCGAAAGAGCACCAGCGACGACATTAATTCGTCCTAGTTTACACTCAACGGAGAAGTCGTACTCCGATAAGAAAAAAGGCCACCTCGCCATTCGTTGCGAGAGGTGTGGGCTGTTTACGGCCGTGCGTAACGACGCATGGTCGGCATAAACGATGTGGGGGCTATCCCTTAAGAGATATACCCGGACCTTAGCCAATGCAAATTTCAAGGCAAGGAGCTCCTTGCCATGCACCGGGTAATCACGCTCAGCTGCTTGCAGCTGACACGATGGATAACAGACGACGCTCTCAACGCCGTCTGATTCGTACTGCATTAAAGCGCAGCCGATTGCAAAATCGCTGGCGTCACAGACCACCTGAAATGGCCCATCCTGATCTGCAATCGCCAACTCAGGCGATTGAACCAAGCTTTTCTTGATGTCTTCATAAGAGTGCTGACACTCAGCGCTCCATGACCACCTCTCGTTGTTTCTTTAGTAGCCGAGAGAGATGTACGGTCATCTCGGCATAGTTGCGCGAGTACTTGTACAAGTACGCCGCCAAGCCAAGGAACTTTTGAAGTCCCTTGACGTCGACTGGAACAGGCCAGTCGCTAATCGCCTTGATCTTTTCTGTATCATGGCGTACACCGTTTTTACCCATGATGCGGCCAAGAAGTGGTATTTCGTTCGCTGCGAATATACACTTCTTGAGGTTTGCATACAATTGATGCTTTCGCATGATTGTAAGAACCTTCCGGACGTGGATTCTATGAACCTCCACGTCCGCCTTTCCATCCACAGCCCGGCTATGGACGAAGACATCGTCGAAGTAACTCGGTGCGAAATCGCGCACCGATCGCAACAGATTCGTAACTCATCTGTTATTAAACGTTGAAGGGGCGTTATGTAGCCCCTGTGGCATTACTAGCCACTCACAGAGCATACCACTGGGGGTGCTCACTGCTGTGTAAGGGATATTTCGTTCACGCATGAGGATCTGATAAAATCAAATCATAGAATCCATGGATGAAAAGATGTTACTCTTTGCCATACCATCTATGATGACATCCTTTCTTGGGATCGGAGTTTGAGCCGGTACCGTTGCAGCGTTCAATTGTTGAATGCGTGCACTATCCTCCACCCTCCTGTGGCCTTTCGCACACAGAAAGTCGGAGAGCTGTGTGGGGATGTTGATTCCCTCACGTGGCCAGCCGCTGATCGATCGGCAAAGGGTTTGTCGATAGCTGTGACCTGTTCACGAGGCAGTGGCCACTGCGTCATGACACAGTATTTTGAACCAGGTTTCAGTTCGATCTCATGCCGAGTGCCTTTGTCCTTGGGCAGCTCGCATGGCACGGATTCAGGGTAAACTTCCCTGAATTCAACCAAATCCTTATACAAAGAATATATCTTCAAAGACTCCCAAGATTGAGACATGTACCGCTCAATCCCGGTTATATCATCGAGTACACTCTCGTCCATAGATGAGCTACTGAGAACCCGTTTGTTCTCAGTAAAAACTTGTGCTGACCGAATATCGGCGACGTACTCGTCCGCTGTAAAAAGTAAACTGATCTACTTGAATTTTCTATCGCGCAGATCTCGCAAGATTTTTTTAGATTCTAGCGTTGGCAATTTGATTACCTTCGAAACTGACTTCGGAGGTGTAACCAGATCAAGTGTATAAGCACTTACAATTAATCCGTCATTCACCAAGACATTCACTGACTCTGTGATTTCCTAGGAAAAAACATCCGCAAGTGGTTGAGGATCCACACCCTCAACATAACTCTCTCAGGAGTTGTCACTTTCAGGAACGCCGAAATTTGCTTCCGTTACGTGTACTACTACGGTCACGTCCTATTCGATCGACTCTGTTTCAGTCGAGCGGGCTTGCTCTACGATCAACTCTCTGATAGTCAGTCTCGCTTTAACGTGTTGTCCATCCTGAACAACACTAGTCTCTCTTCTCGGATGCAACCTTCTTGGTGTTCATCCGTGTTCCAGTCGTCTCGATCTCTTCGATTGGTGAACCTTCGGCACAGCCTGTGTCTCTGCACATGTGACGAAAGCTGGTTCCACAGTGTAGTGGCATTCTACACTGTGATCTTGTGCAGTCATACTAACGACCGTACCACAAATGAGGCCATCGCACTCACTCGTAGTACATCCACACGCTTGTGGACACTCCAAGACGTTCATCAGATGGACATCTGATGACCAAACGGCAGGCATCTTCACGGATCGATTCTGCCAGCTGACCCGTAGCTGGTATTTTCAAGCCATGGCAGACCAGTGATGACATCAAATTTGTCATCCAAATCTAATACGATCATGTTATCATCGTACTGCTTTCCTTCTAGCGTGTAGTGAATTCCCACTACACTTTTGTTCACTGGTACGGATGCGCCTGTAGCAAGGCACACCGTCATCCTCGTTGGAGGGAACTCTCGCTCAACAAAGTTGAGCCTACTATCCCCTAGCGACTGGCATCGAATAAAACTGCTCGACGCCCCACATTCAACTAGGGCGCGAAGTGACATTCCACTTGTCACCTTGATTTTCAAATTGATGAGAGAATCCTCATCAATAGGGGCAGTAACACACAGAGACTTTGTTTTGGGAGCAATCTTCGTCAAAAGTCCTGCAAATTCTCTTGACGTTGCTGGATCAGCAGGGTGCTCCGCCCCCACTGACCCTGATCGTTTTTTGACGGTCCGACTTGCTGTCGCGGCTTGGCGACATGGTCGGACCCACGCCTCGGACCCTTCCTTGGCCAACAGCGGTCATCACGTTCTGTCTTTGGAAGTGTTGCGGTACTTGTGACACTACACTCATAAGCGGAGTGATATTCATTCTGGCAGCGATGGCATCTTGCCGTTCACTTGTGACTCAGAGATCGAGAGTTCTCGCGTTCGATGTAACAGAGGTCCATTGGTTCGGGACTTCCTGTTTTCTGTCGTCTCGTCGGACGATAGTTTGACGAGTTAGCCGGAGACTGTCTAAGTCTGAATTCTTCTTGTTCCGCATACGCTATCACCTTTTCCAGCGTATGGAAGTCCTCTCGGAACATGTAGGTCTTCACCGGCCCATCAAGAAGGCCGTAGATGAACACGTTGATGAGCGTGTGCTCATCAACAGGGTTCTTTGTAACGCTACTCGCAAGGTAGCTCAGGTGATGTGCGTAAGCGAGCACGTCACGCTTACCTTGCTTTAGCCTCAAGAGTGCAGAGCGTGCTCTAAAATTGGCTCTCGGCGGCTCAAACGTCTCTATGAGCCGATACTTTGAAATCTTTAACGACTCAAACACGTTTGGGTCGTGAAGCTTGAGCCCTAAGGCCCAAGTCTTTGCTAGTCCTGTCAAATTTGACAGGAAGAAGGTGACTAGCATCTCGTCACTCTCGATGTGACGGGCCCTGATGGCTTCGTATAACTCGACGAACCATTTCAAAAGGGAATCTTTCATCGGTTTCCTTGTACCTTGAGATGTCAATCTTCAAGGCTTTGGGTCGATGTGTGTGCGTCGGACCGCCCTTCGACTGATGAGAGCCTTGCTGCAATAGCAAGGCTGTCTTTTGTCGCTCGACGGCAAGTTCCCCTTGAAGGAACTTGTTGATAGCAGCATGTTGCTGGTCTCTGCTTAGAGACTTCAACATACCACTGAGTGCGGGTTCGCCCATGAGCACACTCATGCGGCCGACTACCTCCCATTCTAAGTCAATCAGATGGGAGTAGCCTTCATGTGTGACGTGAAAGATGTCGTCTTCTACGTCCAGCCTGTTCATGTTGGACGGACACTAAATAGTCGTTGGACAGACTACGAAGTGCCACCAGGTGTAACGGGGCACCCTTTGCTTGGGGTGCCGCAAAACTTCACGTACACTAGTACGTGCAGAAGAAGCTAACTTTTTTAAACAGATCGTTTGAGTAAAGGGTTAAAGGAGAACTGTATTTAATATAGTTGAGCTATCAATGTAACGTTAATCGTTATCTAACAATATTAAACTACGCCGTCGTGTGACGACAACCTGCTCACCACTCATTGCGCGCGTATAGCATCGATTGGTGGCAATCTATGGTTGATATGTCCTATATCAACCAATCTTGGAGCACCGCACGACTATTATCCATCTCGGATAATACCGGTAGGATATAGTCATGCTAGACCATATTCCAATTGACACCGTTTGGTGTCAAAATTATGCATCGGGATACCCCGTTACAACAAGCCACTCCCAAAGCATACCGCTTGAAGTACTAAACGCTGTGAGAGGAATCTCTCGCTCGCAGGAGCAGTTGATAAAACTCATCGACCAAGTCGAGTGCACTGAAAATGGTACGATATCCATAGCATTTTGAAGAACAGCCTTTCTAGATATATGCATTTGTGCCGGTATGGTGGCTGCGTTTAGCTAATTGTAAGCATGCACAATACGCAACTTGACGTTCGGCTTTTTGACAATAATTTCGGTGTAAAGTGAGGATACTTGCTCTCACGCACCATGCCAGCCGCGTGCTTTGCGCGAAAGAACTCGGAAATGACGTCACATTGCTCCTTTGGTAGGGTCCATTGCTTTGTCACATAGTATTTGGCTTCAGGAATCAGGTCAATTTTCATGACGTATCCCTTGACCGGGAGGCAGAGTAAAAGGTGGATCGTGACCACTACATCTTGAAACTCCTTAACCAAAGGATAAATGATTCTCTAGGATCTTTCAAGATCGACGACCCACTTAGAGCTCTCAGGGCCGCCTTTGTGACTTTCAAGACAGCTTTATGAAATGGTCACGACGAGTTCAACTCACTATCGGATGTAATGACTACCACTTGAGATTAGTCACCTGACTTTAAGGTCAGAGCAAACTAATCGACAGTTATTTCGTCAAACTCCAACAGAGTATTCAGTGAGGGTAGGGTAACAAGACTCACTGACCTATCTACATTACCTTTCACTCCTTTATCGAGTGTATATAGCTTCTCGCTAGTATCACTCGTTGGCGTAACAGACGCCTTGCGTTGCATACCATCAATCTGGCGTCGATGTCGTCTCTTTGACGAGACTGAACGTCTCAAAGCGACTGAAACTTTTTCGTGCCCAAGATTGATGTCCACTGCATCTTCACATGTCGAGGTTTGGGCACGTAAGACTGCTGTTCTGGCACCGCCAGTGCGAAGACCCTTTGTAAAAAAGGATGCTAAAACCGCTTTCGATAAAGGTCCAAGATGCATAGCAGCAACGAGGTTTGCAACTCCTGGACATAGTCGACTTAGTCCTGGTGGGAAATGCTTCTCCTATCGAAATGGCAGAAGTGAAGGCCCACTCCCTAAATCGTCCACCTAACTTCGATTTGGACAAGCCTACCTTTTGCTGCTCTGACTGCAGCAGGGTCGAGCTGATGGCAAACCCTCCATCTCTCAGAATTTATCCCAATTCCCCGCAAACTTCTTCACACTAATAACCTGATTGAGGATATATGACTCAGTGCTCGGTCTTGGATCACACCAAGCGAGCATGGCAGATACCGAATGGTACGGATTTGTCCGATCAACGTGGACTCAAAGTTCGAGAAGGCCTCGAGACGTGCACGAAGTGCGTACAAGCCTTTCGCCACCATAAAAGCTACTTGCTCATGCCCGAATAATGCCTCAAGCTTCTCAAGC